CAAATCCTGAAAGATGATGCTGTGAAAGTGCTGCACTCAATATGCCAGCAAATTTGTAAAACTCAGCAGTGGCCACAGGACTGGAAAAGGTCAGTTTTCATTCCAATCCCAAAGAAAGGCAATGCCAAAGAATGCTCAAACTACTGTACAATTGCACTCATCTCACATGCTAGTAAAGTAATGCTCAAAATTCTCCAAGCCAGGCTGCAGCAATATGTGAACTATGAACTTCCAGATGTTCAAGCTGGATTTAAAAAAGGCAGAGGAACCAGAGATCAAATTGCCAACATCCATTGGATCATTGAAAAAGCAAGAGAGTTTCAGGAAAACATCTACTTCTGCTTTATTGACTATAACAAAGCCTTTGACTGTGTGGATCACAACAAACTGGAAAATTCTGAAAGAGATGGGAATACCAGACCACCTGACTGACCTCCTGAGAAAACTGTATGCAGGTCAGGAAGCAACAGTTAGAATTGGACGTGGAACAACAGACTGGTTCCAAATAGGAAAAGGAGTACGTCAAGGCTTTATATTGTCACCCTGCTTATTTAACTTATATGCAGAGTACATCATGTGGAATGCCGGGCTGGATGAAGCACAAGCTGGAATCAAGATTGCTGGGAGAAATATCAATAGCTTCAGATATACAGATGACACCACCCTTATAGCAGAAAGCAAAGAAGAACCAAAGAGTCTCTTGATGAAAGTGGAAGAGGAGAGTGAAAAAGTTGGCTTAGAACTCAGCATTCAGAAAACTAAGATCATGGCATCTGGTCCCAACACTTCATGGCAAATAGATGGGGAAACAATGCAAACAGTGAGAGACTTTATTTTCTTGGGCTCCAAAATCACTGCAGATGGTGACTGCAGCCATGAAATTAAAAGACACTTGCTCCTTGGGAGAAAAGCTATGGCCAACCTAGAGAGCGTATTAAAAAGCAGAGATGTTACTTTGCCAACAAAGGTCTGTCTAGTCAAAGCTATGGTTTTTCCAGTAGTCATGTATGGATGTGAGAGTTGGACTATAAATAAAGCTGAGTGCTGAGGAATTGATGCTTTTGAACTGTGGTGTTGGAGATGACTCTTGAGAGTCCCTTGGACTGCAAGGAGATCCAACAAGTCCATCCTAAAGGAGACCAGTCCTGAATATTCATTGGAAGCACTGATGTTAAAGCTGAAACTCCAATACTTTGGCCACCTGATATGAAGAGCTGACTCATTTGAAAAGACCCCGATGCTGGGAAAGATTGAAGGCAGGAGGAGAAGGGGACAACAGAGGATGAGATGGTTGAATGGCATCACCAACTGGATGGACATGAGTTTGAGTAAGCTCCGGGAGTTGGTGATAGACAGGGAAGCCTGGCATGCTGCAGTCCAAGGAGTCGCAAAGAGTCAGATACGACAGAGCAACTGAACTGAACTGAACTCCCCAATTTTTACCTCTCTATTCCAGGCTCTTAGTAACTTAGCAGCAGTTCTCTCATGGTAGTCCAGGGTCCCAGGGATCCCCAAGACCCTTACTGGCAGATCACAAGGTTAAATCTCTTTTCATAATAATCCTGCAGTGTTATTTGCCTTTTTCACTCCCTGTTCAAAGAAGTTTTCTAGAGGCCATGTGATGTATGCTAACACCCTTCTTCTGATGCTCAGTGGAGGTTTTGCTAATGCATTCTTGTTTTAATATTTTCCCAATTTTTATTTCTAATATGGTAAATTATGATAAGTATCATGCACCTAAAAGCTCTTTGAGACCCTCAGTCATCTATCAGGGTGAAAAGGAGTTCTGAGACCAAAAAGCTGGAGAGCACTGGCCTGGAGCCTGCCAGCCTGGGTGGTGCCTGTGTGTGCCTGAGAAAAGATGCCTCTTCTGGGTGGATAGAGCCCATACCTGGTGCCAGGTCTGGTCAAGCGCATGCAGGCTGGATTTCATCTCTATTCCTCCCTTTGGCTGGGTGCTTTGAGACATGTACAAACTTCCCCACTGTACACTGTGACCCTGTGTTTCTCGGATGTCCTAACTCATGTCCGAGGCTCCAGCTTGCCTCCTCTCTGGTTCATCCTGTCCAGCATTGTTGGATTGCTCTTCTTACAATTTTGTTCACATCACACTGTCCAACTACAAGGACTCCAGTGGTTCCCACTGCCTTCTGGATGCATTTCAAGCTTCTTGATGTGGCCATGGATGTCCTCCACCATCTGGCTTTCAATTGTCCTTCCAGCTTTATTTCCTGGTGCTCCTTGACACAAACTCTCTGCCATGGTGCAACTTTATTTTTCTTGTTTTCACAGTCCAGTCAGTAACAGGCCCTCTGATTTTTCCCTAGTCACTCCCTCCACAAGCCCCCAAAGTCAGGGGTCCTGTTTACTCCTCTTAGAATCTGCTGTCTAGCAATGCCTTGCCCATGATAGATGGTGAGGAAGATGCATGGCTTTTGGACTCCAACAGGCTGAGATTTGAGGCCCTGAGGCTTCCCCTGTGACTCAGCAAGTAAAGAATCCATCTGTAGTGTGGGAGACACAGGAGACGTGTTTAATCCCTGAGTTGGGAAGATCCCCTGGGGGAGGAAATGGCAACCCACTCCAGTATTCTTACCTGGAGAATTCCATGGACAGAGGAACCTGGCAGGCTACAGTCCCTGGGGTTGCAAAGAGTTGGACATGACTGAACACATAAATTCACTGCCACACACAGCCGAGGGACTTTGAGCGCATGGGTTGACTCTTCCAAACATGAAAGGGGGAGTCCCTCATCTGTGTGGTGATGGGACTTGGCTGTCTCCGAGTGTAGTTATGAGAGGCAGATGCTTGATAGAAGTTAGTTCTTATCTCCTTTGCTGAATGAGTGTGGTGTGTGGAGAAAAATCACGGGTACGTTTAGACCAACAGGATATCACACGGGGGTGTTTGCACATGCTACGTTTGCTGTCCTGTTGGCTGGAAAACACTGATTCCTGCCCCCAAGGGCCTCTCTTTTCTTTTTTTATTTTAAATATTATTTATTTATTTGACTGTGCCCGCATCTTTGATCATCGTTGTGGCATTCAGGGTCTTTAGTTGTGGTATGTGGGATCTAGTTCCCTGACTAAGGATGGAACCCAGGCCCCTTGCATTGGGATTGTGAAGTCTTGGACACCAGACCACCAGGGAAGTCCCTCCCTTTTTTTTTTTTTCTTTTCGCCTGAAAACTGGTTGATGCTGATGCCTGCTTCACTACTTTGGAATTTGCCACCTATCTTAGTGCAGTTACCCAAGCACCCCTCCCTCTGGGCATCAGCAGAGTCGTCCCCATACTGGCCCACAAAGAGAATCATGTTCCCCTGAGCAATCTAGGCATTCCGATTTATCAGGTGCCCTTGAACTCAGGAGTTCCAGATCAGCTAATGCCCTTCAGTTGTCCGCTAAAAACTGCCTTCTGGAGGGGTAGTGACCCTCTAAGTCACAAGGAAAGTGAGTGAGTGGAGAAGGAAGGCCTTGAGCTTGACTCTTCCTCCATTAGATGGTCTTCTTCACCAAGATGAGTGCTCCCAGGAAACAGGGACTGATTATTCATTTCCGTTTAAATAGCACTCACTCCAGGCAGAGCCAGACATGGAAGAGGTGCTTATTAAGGATTTTGTTGAATCTATGAAAGAATCAAGCTGGTTCCAAGATGGGCTTTGAGAAAATGTTGGAAATGGCTAACCACCTTCTCTCCAAGGAGAAAAGCTTCCTCCTTCCTTTTTACTTAACTTCCTTCCATTTTTCTTCCTCCTTTTATTCATTCAAGAGGTATTTAAGTGCCAGGTTCAGTTATAGGTATTGGGAATACAGCAGTGAACCTAATAGTCTATGTCTCTGACTTTGATGGAATTTAATTTTTATTTAGGGAGATAAAGCAAATAAATATTTATTTTTTTAACTTTTTTCTGTATCTATTCTATATATAATAGTTTGCATCTGCTAGTCCCAAATTCCCAAGCAAGCAAATAAATATTTAAACTGATGCTGGGCAGTGACAAATCCTAGAAGGAAGAAAATAGGTGAGGAGCTGGGCAGTGTGAGGGTGTGGGTTGAGGGTGGCTTTCCTACAGAGGTGGTCAGAGAAGGCCATAGGAGATCGAGGGAGCTGATCTCACAGATATGTTCTGGGTCCAAACTCTGTAGACAGAGAGGACAGCAGGTGCAAAGGCCCTCAGGCAGGAGCATGGAGGTCATCCTGCTGACCTTGACCCACAGCGAGGTCAGTGTGGCTGAAGAGGAGGGGAGGGTGAGGCAGGCGATGAGAGGTGACCGAGTGTGGTGCCAATTCCATAGGCCTTTGACTTTGACTTTCAATGAGTTGGGAGGCCGCTTGGAGGGTTTTGAGGATAGGCGCTTCCCAAAATGACATAATTAAAAGGTCTGTTCGCCAGATGAGTTCAGTGGAATGGATTTTCTTTTTAATAAGTTTATTCATTTAGAAACTATAAATTTGTGAACTTCTATGAAGTTACTTCTTTAGTTGTTCAGTCGCTCAGATGTGTCCGACTCTTTGCAACCTCGTGGGCTGCATGCAGCATTCCAGGCTTCCCTGCCCTTCACTGTCTCCCAGAGCTTACTGAAAGTCATGTTTGTAGAGTCAGTGCTGCCATCCAACCATCCCATCCTCTGTCGTCCCCTTCTCCGCCTGCCCTCAATCTTTCCCAGCATCAGGGTCTTTTCCAGTGAGTCGGCTCTTTGCATCAAGTGGCCAAAGTATTGGTGCTTCAGCTTCAGCATCAGTGCTTCCAATGAACATTCAGGACTGATTTCCTTTAGGATGGACTGGTTTGATCTCCTTGCTGTCCAAGGGACTCTCAAGAGTCTTCTCCAGTACCACAGTTTGAAAAATCAATTCTTAGATGCTCAATACTTCTTTAGAGATGCTGCCAAATGCCTTCTCTCATGAGTCTGAGGAGCAGGCTTTGGCTTCAGGGCCCTGGGAGGGAGTGGGGCCTCCATTGGTTCAGGGGTTCCCTTCCCTTGCTTCTCGCCCACAGGAGGTTGGAGCAGAACTTCTTCAACTGCAGCTGTGACATCCGCTGGATGCAGCTGTGGCAGGAGCAGGGGGAGGCTAAGCTCAACAGTCAGAACCTCTACTGCATCGGCGCCGACGGCTCCCAGCTGCCACTCTTCCGCATGAACATCAGCCAGTGCGGTGAGTGAGCCCCCTGGCCCGGCTGGCTCCACGCCGGCCTCCCACAGACCCCAGGGATGGTGCGGCACGTCAGTAGAGGAAGCCAGGGCTTTCCATCCCCACTGCCCTCCCAGCCTCGAATTCTCCGCATTGGCTGCGGATCTGGCTCCCCTCTTACTTCCTGCTTGCTCCTGTCCCTTCATGAGCCAGCTGTGGGAAGGTTGGTTTCAGGCAGCAGTCCCCAATCTTTCTGGCACCGGGGACTGGTTTCGTGGAAGACAGCTTTTCCTTGGACGGAGGGTGGGGGATGGCATGGTTTGGGGATGATTCAAGTACATTACATTTATTGTACACTTTATTCCTATTTCTATTACATCAGCTCCACCTCAGATCATCAGGCATTAGGTTCTGGAGGCTCGGGACTCTTGGTTTCAGGGATGCAGAAAAGGGTTACGTGTGCCCTCTTTGTGATCGGACCAGAGTCCCTGCACCCTGTCAGTTTCTTATTAAGCAAACCTGAAGGAGTGCAGGTGCAGGTGTGGTCTCCGGGTCTCCTATATCAGGAACGTCTGAGGGACTTTTAGAGAAGCAGATGTGTGGGCCTGATCACTCATCTGACTTAGGAGATCAGAGTGTCTGGGGATGAGTTTGGAAATGTGAATTTCTCGTGAGCTCCCCAGGGGAGTCTGAAGCGGATCAAAGTTTTGAGAGCCAGTGCCCAAAGTAGAAGATGCCATTTGATGTCATTGCTAGAGTTGCATGCCTTGAGTAATTGTCCTCCCCTCCAACCCTCCAACTTCCCCGCCATCCCCTCCACCAGTAAAAACTGCATGGGCTTACTTCCTGAGATCTGATGTCTGGAGCTGGTGTGAAGCTTCTGAGACTTGGGGTACTTTTAAGAGGTCAAGCAGGTTGTGTTGGAGTCATTATTAGACAAAGCAGGAAGTGCCCCCATTGCCCTCATGGACAGCGTTTTGGTCACAAGCTCTTCCTTATCTACTTACCTGCCCTGTCCTCCCTCCCAGACCTTCCTGAGATCAGCGTGAGCCACGCCAACCTGACCGTACGAGAGGGTGACAATGCTGTCATCACCTGCAACGGCTCGGGCTCGCCCCTGCCCGATGTGGACTGGATAGTCACGGGCCTGCAGTCCATCAACACCCACCAGGTAGGTGTGGCCTTGGGCCCTGGCACCTATTAGTCTTAATGAGCTGAATCATGCAGAGAGGCAAGAGATGTCAGAATAAGAAAGAAGAAGAGGGGAAGTTTGTCATCCTCTCTCTACAAGAAGAAAGGCGGAGACTTGGGTGCCACCCAGCCACAACTTTTTCTGGCCAAACTGATCTTAAGCAGACTATCAACATCTCTGTACCTTACCTTCCTCATCTGTGAAATGGGTATAATGCTGCCATGCACCTCATAGGGTAAGTGTGAGGGTTACCTGAGCTCTTGACTGTAGAGAGCTTGGCCTTTGGTCAGCGTGCCTTCACTGCATAGGCCTCTTTCACTTTCTGCCCGTCTTTCCTTTTGATTCCTGAAGGTGTTGGGGAGTTTGTTGGGGGAAGCTTGTGGAAACTGACTATTGTCTTGGTTTTGGTGCCATCATCTGATTTTTCTGTTTTGAATCTTTTTAAAAATTTTTATGTGGTAAAGTATATGTAACTTAAAATTTACAGTCTTAAATGTTTTTTTTAGTTATTATAAAATATTAGCTCTATTCCCTGTGCTGTACAATATATCCCTGGAGCTTCTTTTATACATCTGATGGTTGTCTCTTTTCTTGGGATTTTAGACAAATCTGAACTGGACCAACGTTCATGCCATAAACCTGACGCTGGTAAATGTGACGAGTGAGGACAACGGCTTCACCCTGACGTGCATCGCTGAGAACGTGGTGGGCATGAGCAATGCCAGCGTGGCCCTCACTGTCCACTGTGAGTGGACGCCATTGTGGAGGGCGGCTGGGACCCTGGGGATCTTGGCACAGGGGGCTGGGCCGGGGTGGGGCAGCTGCAGTGGGCCTGGTCCACTAGGAGGGCAGAAAGACTCGTGTGGGGCAATACTGGGCAAGTCAAGTCAGTCCTTGGCTAGTAACCCCAGAAAGTGTGTCCCTTTCCCTCAGAAGGTGCTGGGCCTCCAACTCAGATCTGCTCACTGCTGAGCTGGTTCAAGTCTGCCTTTTGTTAAACCTCTAAAAGTTCTCTGAGGAGCTACTCCATAGAGACAGGGAATGGGCGAGTGTACATATGAATTGTTTTGGCTGGGAAATACATGTAGTCATGCACATTTCTTGGTAAATTACTGCTAATCACACCAAAAAAAAAAAAAAACCCACAACAAAACCAGATATCTGAAGTTAATGACTTTCGTGCTTATCTATGCACCAAATGCATAGATAATGGGGTCATTGAATGACCTTTAGTATGAAATTTTGTTTCTCTTTTGGCTTAACGAAGATGCTTTTAAGGGAAATTCTAGTGGGACTTCCTGGTGGTCCAGTGGTTAAGAGTTTGCCTTCCAATGCAGGGGGTGCGGGTTCATTCCCTGGTTGGGAAACTAAGATCCCACTTGCCTTGAGACTAAAACATAAAACAGAAGCAATGTTGTAACAAATTCCATAGACTTTATAAATGGCCAACATTTAAAAACAATCTTAAAAAAAAAAGATAAATTCTGCCAACTTCTCTTACATTCTTACAAGAGGAACTCATCTCTTTAAGGAATTCTTAGACAGTATAGTAGACTGAATGTTTATGCCCCACCCCCCAAGAAAGGTCATGAGAGGGACCCTCCAGTTACAGTGGATCCAGGAAGCTTGGGCGAAGACAGACATCTCTTCACCTGTTTAGGGATGGTGTTGGTGTTGGTGGGGGCTATGGGACTTCCGATTCCCTTAGTCTTTTTAGAGCTGATAGGGAAGAATTGGGGCTTCCCAGGTAGCACAGTGATAAAGAATCCACCTGCCCATGCAGGAGATGCAGGAGATGCTAGATCCCTGGGTTGGGAAAATCCCCTGGAGAAGGAAATGGCAACCCACTCCAGTATTCTTGCTGGGATAATCCCATAGACAGAGGAGCCTGGTGGGGTACAGTCCATGGGATTGCAAAAGTCAGACATGACTGAGCATGCATGCACACATGAAGAATTGGGCTGCCCGCCCCAGCTCCTGGAAGGCTGCTCCAGGACATGGGAGGGTCCATGTCCTGGGCTTCAGCTGGCCTGTCCCCTGGCAGACCCCCCTCGTGTGGTGAGCCTGGAGGAGCCTGAGCTGCGCCTGGAGCACTGCATTGAGTTCGTGGTACGCGGCAACCCGCCGCCCACGCTGCACTGGCTGCACAATGGCCAGCCGCTGCGCGAGTCCAAGATCATCCACGTGGAATACTACCAGGAGGGCGAGGTCTCCGAGGGCTGCCTGCTCTTCAACAAGCCCACCCACTACAACAACGGCAACTACACCCTCATCGCCAAGAACCCCCTGGGCACCGCCAACCAGACCATAAATGGCCACTTCCTCAAGGAGCCCTTTCCAGGTGAGGGTGGAACTGCCCTAGGGTGGCTGATCCCTCCAGGCGCTCAGGGGGGTCGGGTGTGGGGGCTTGAGGGGTGAAGCAGCGTCAACACGGATACCATCATCACCAGCAACCACACACACTTTGGAACATCTTCGGCCACCACCAGAATTTTATGTAAACTAGATATAGTCTCTGTTTTCTGTTAGTGGTCACAGTAAAAACCAAGGCCCCTTGGAAATACACAGCTATGCATATAAGGGTATATGGTGTTATGGTAGAGTAAGTAGGGACTTGGGAACTGGGTCGGAATGGTGGGGAATTTGGACCCAGTCCTTTGTTTGTTGGGGGATTCTGGGCCTGATCATTACCTCAACATCCTCATCTGTGAAATGAGCATGATGGTACTGCTCCCATAAGAATCTTGTGACTTTTATTAAATAACTTAAAGTAGACAAAGCGTGTGTCTCAGGCTTTGGTACCTAACGATGGTTTGATGATCTTCCATGTAAGGGGCTTCAAGGTCTATCTGATTCATCCCCACATTTAACAGATAAGTTAAATCTCTTTCCACTTGCTGGGTAGAAGCAAGGCTTTGCCTGGGGTTGAGGCTTCCAGGCCTGTGGCTCCTTTCCTCTAACACTGTGGTGAGTTGATGGGTGGGGAGTTCCTGATACCCTCAACCTGAATGGTGCTGACATCCAGTGGATGGGTGGGGGAAGGAGAGGTCATTGAAATAATGAAAAAATTTTGTTTGAATATTTGTGAAGGGAGTCTATCTTTGTCTGGGCTGGAATATTTCCAATATCTTCCTGAAGTTGGAGGAGAAGAAAACACTCCAAGAGTTTAGTGAAAGTGGCTGCAGCATCTCTTGGTAGATTTGGCAGCTGATAAGTTTCTATTAGTGAAGTCATGTATCTTTGATGACCTTGCTGATTTCTGCTGGGAACAAGCTAGAGGACCTCTCAGCCTTCAATTCCTAGAAATCCAGGCTTCTAATGAGGTAAAGGGTAAAGCAGATATCAGTAAAGATATCAGTGAAGACTGATATCATGCGCGCGCTCACACACACACACACACTCACACACTCACACACATGGCAGAGGAGGGCTAGCACTGTAGCATCTGCTTATGTGAAGGTGACTTTACAATGTACAGATAACCATCAGGGAGCAGCTCCAAGGGGCCTTTTACATCTTAGCACAAGGAAACTTGAACTCTGGAGACACTGAGAGACACTCTGGAGAGATGAGACTGCCTGGGAAGCTAAATTCTTGCACGGAGCTCTGTGGAGCAGTGATGACACCATCGCTCAGGAGAGGACTGAGAATGTGCCAATGCTTGAGACCCTGGCCATCCCATATGGTCTGATACTTCCATCATCATTCCTAGTATACCCAGTAAAGGGCCTCAGGACACTTCCCACCGTGGGTCACACGGGGCTTTTTAACTGGAGGAGTCCTGGTCGGCACTGTGGAAGCAGCGAGCTTTAGATGCCGAGATGCTTTGCTTTTCAGGACCGTAAAGTCAAGCTAGGCTTTGTTGGCATTAAGGGCTGGAGTGGCCCTTTGCCCTGCTCATGCCCATCTGGTGATTAGAGAATGGAATCTTTTTAAAGAGGAGGTGTATGAACACTGATGGGGGAAAGGCGAGGTGGGATGATGAATTGGGAGACTGAGGTTGACATGTATACTCTACTGGGTATAAAATAGACAACTAATGAGAACCTACTGTACGGCACAGAGAACTCTGCTCAATGTTCTGTGGGGACCTAAATGGGAAGGAAACCCAGAAAAGAGGAGATACGTGCGTATGTATGGTGATTCACTCTGCTGTGTGACAGAAACTGACAGGACATTGCACAGCGACTATCCTCCAATGCAGGTTTTCTTTTCTTTTTTTTTTTAAAAGAGGAGAATCTATACTCCCTCATGAGTGAGGAGTGAAGCCCCTGCCAAGTGATGTTTCTGTCCTCAAAGGGAAACTCCGGGGGCCTGGAGAGAGGCGGAGCCCTTGAATGTTTGAGAAGTGGGGCAGGACACTCCGGCTCCTGTCCACAGAGGGTGTGCTGGCCATGGGGCAGCAGAAGCAGTGGAATGGTGCGGGACATGGCTTTTCCCACTGGGAGGGAAGCACTTCTCTGAGTCCTCCCAGCCATACGTACACCTTCTCTGTCCCCAAGAGACACAGCTGCCCCGCCTCATCACCTCTGGACACCCCTATCACCTATCGACTCTAATCAGGCCAATCGTTCTCAAGGAGCGGTCCCCAGAGCAGCAGCGTCCACATCACCTGGGCAGGTGTTAGAACTCAAATCCTAGAGCCCCACCCAAACCTACTGAGTCAGGAATTGTGGGGTGGGGCCCGGCAGTCTGTGTCTTAACAAGCCCTCCCACCCCAAAAATTCAGATGCTCTTGTTTGCCAGCTGCTGCTGTGGCAGGTGGTGGACCGAGGAGGCAGGAGAGAGGGTGGAGTATAGAGGAGCTTGAAGGCAAACTGCTCACCTGCACCCTGCCAGGGCCATCCTGTGCAAAGGCTTGCTTGTTCGTAAAGGAATCAATGGATGATGAAAAGGCAGTGACAGGGAAGAGATGGGCCAATCGTGTCAGTGACAAAGTAGCTAGGCATTCAGGAGAGTCGGTTATCTGGTGACGCAGGCAGTAAACTGCATACCTGCTGAGCCCTGGGTACAAAGGCTCTTGGTGGGTTCCTGCTCTTCTCTTGCTGTAAAGTGGTGGGGAGGTTGTATTTGTCATTTGTACCTGTCTCGCTTCCAGGCAGCAAAGCGTGGAGGTTAAGAGTCAAAGGTCTGAAATCAGACAGATTGAGGTGCAAACTGCATCTGTATTCCTACTGGACAGGTGCCCTCAGCTCCTAGAATGGGGCTTGGCACACGGTGGGTGTGAGATGCCTCTCTTTCTTCATCTGTAAAATGGGGGTGGTAACTGGAGCTGCTGCCTGAATAGTCCGAGGATGAATGAAGTGATGTCTGCCAAGTGTTTCGCCCTATGTCTGGACAGAGGGATGGTTCAACTGCTGTTGGCCATGATTCCAGGTGGAGAGTTAAGGAGTTGAGTTCAGGAGTTCTAGAATTGGTAGTCACCCTGTAATCAAGCTGGGAAGTTCTAACAGACAGTCTTCAGGCAGTTTCATCGAAGGTGGTGGTTATGGAGTCACAGGCTAGGGTTCAGATTCTCACTCAGCTACCCATCAGCTCTGTAATCTCAGGCAGCTTATTCAGCCCTCTTGCTTCTGCCTCAGAGATTGTGGTGAAGATTCATTCACAGACACTGGATCAAACTGCCTAAAATATCCCCCACAGTGCTTGGTACAGAGTAAGAGCAGAACTAGTTTGTTTTTATTTTTATTTTTTTTTTTAAAAAAACACCCAAGGACAACTGAAAGTGGATTTGTTTGGGGAGGGGATGGAGATCTGAAGTTGAGGGTCTTCTTTCTTGACTGTTCGTGGGTCGGAGGCCCACAGGAGAGATTGGATTGAAATGAATACACTGAGTGGAGACCTCTGAAGATGCAGAGGCTTCAATCAGAGGATTTTCTCCGAGCAGGACATTGAGATGAAAATGTTCTGCGAAAGCTTTTTGTAAGCTTCACATCCTATGCAAATGTTGGTGGTTCCTTCTGCATTTCCAGGAAAGCACTAGGATGTTCCGCCTGGAGTTTAAGCCTTAGTGTAGGAGCCAGTCCTTGGGAAGGAAGATGTGTTCTAGAAGCATGGAATCTTCTTTCATGTTCCAGGATCTTGGAGGGGCCACCAAAAAGGATCTGGGTGTAAGAGTGGGACTGTGAGGAGTCAGGGTTCTGAGTCAGCGGAGGCTGGGGATCACGTCAGGGTCAGGGTGGTACCTGGAAGGTCACCATTAGGGATCCTTGGATAATGATGTGATAGGAAGGGAAATGTTGCCAAGGGTGTGTGTGTGCACGTGTATGTGTTTGTATGTGTGTATGGGTGAATGTGCACGCATGCATGTATGTGCATGCATACATGCATGTATGTGTGTATGTATGCGTGTGCATTTGTGTATGTATGAAAGAATGTATGTTTTTATGTGTGTGCGCTTGTATGTGCATGTATGTGTGTATGCATGGTGTGCATGCATGTGTGTATGTATGTGTGTGTATGTGTATGTGTGTGCATGTGTGTAAGGGTGAATGTGCTTGTATGTGTGTTTATGTGTACATGTGTGCATGCATGTATGCATGTGTGTTTTATGTGTGTGCATGTATGTGTATGTGTGTATGCAAGGGGTGTGCGCACGCACATGTGTATGTGTTTGTACATGTGTGAATGTTCATGTGTGAGTATGTGTGCATTTATGTGCTTATGTGTATGTATGTATGTGTACGAGTGTATGTGTGCATATGTGTCTATTTATGTGTGCATGCACATGTATGCACATGTGTGTGTATGTGTGTTTGCCTGCACTCCTGCAACGAATATCTGTGAATACCTGACAAAACATTTAGGAGCAAGTGAGCTGCCATAACTCAAATTCTCCTTTTTTCACTTGGCCAGGAAGTCTCTTCATTGTGACAGCAGAAACCAGAATTCCCTCAGGGCCCTGGGTACCACCAAGGGGAGACACCATTGTGCCAACACCCTTAGCGGCATCAAGGCTGGCTTCTTTCCCCTCAGGAACTCGTTGAGACTAGAACGTGCTCCCAGCCTGCCGGTGCTGGGGACGTGGAGGGGGCAGCTGCGTGTGGCCGTCTGGGCGGGGTGGGCCGAGCATGTGGACGCCTGGCGCAGCTCCCTCCCCTGTCCTCACATCTGAAGCCAGGCCATCTCTTCACATCATCACGTCTCAGTGCATCTCTGTCTGTCTGGATGCAAGCTGCCACCTCTCTTCTCTTTTCTGAGGACCCCACTGGCTTTTCCCACTGAGTTTTTCTTGAGGAGTTTGGGATCTGGAGGAGACAGATGCCTTCCATTCGTGCCCAGTCCCCTTTGCGATTCAGATGCTGCCTTGGCACGCTAGTCCAATTGTTCTCCCAGCCTGCTGGTGCAGGCAAAGATGAGGACCACTTTTGGGTACCATCCTCTTCCAGGGTGAAGTTTCGAGTCCTCCCACAGGTTAAACAGAACCCTGGAGGTCTGCTGTTCCAGGTCTCATGTGTTTCCTGGGTGAATACATGTCTCCAGGCTCCTGCAAAGGAGCTAAGCATTCATAGGCTCACTGAGAGATTACAGGATTCACAGATTAGGCCAAGACATTTGGCTGACATGAGAATATTCTCCAATAAAGAAAAGCCTTATGAGAAATATGCAAATCAGTTTTAACTATGAGTTGATCTGGCACGTCTCTTTTCTCTGAAGCCACAGCTAGGGTCCCTTGACGCCCATCTTCCTCCCAAATCAGGTAGTTGGTCACTTGAAGTTTAGAAGAGGCTGGGGGTATGAAGGGCATGCTCAGGAATTTGGGCAAAGCTGTATTGCTATCCCTTGAAACAACAAAAAGCAGATGATGAACAAGAAATCTATTAACAGTGCATTTACTGTATGTAGAACTTTCTTTAAAGGACTCCTTGCTTATAGAAACCACATTTTCTCCACAGATAGTTAGAGAACGGGGCTTCGGCTGCAATGACTGAAAGCTTAGTTAGCCAAGTGCCTGGTAAATAGAAGGTCCGTGATGAATGAATGAATGAGCTGTTGTTTTCAGGGTGTGGTAGGCTTGTGGCAGGAGGAGCTGTACTACAATGCAGGGGTTCTCAAAGGGAGCAGCAGCATCCTCATCACCTGAAAACTTGGTCAAAATGCAAATTCTCAAAACCCACTCCAGAGCTCCTGAAACAGAAACTCTGGGGTGGGGACCAATAATCCCTATTTGTTTTTTTTAAAAAGTTAAAAACTTTTTTTAAAGTTCTTGATGTTGAAATAGTTTGGGATTTACACCTCCCACCCCCTAAATTGCAAAAGAGTACAAAAGACTTTCTTACACCCTTCACCCAGCTTCCCCCAATGTTGCCATCTTACATAATCACAGTGCAGTGATCACAACCAGGAGTGACACTGATACAACCCTATTACCTAATCTACAGACTTTATCTAAATTTTATCAGTTGTCCTTCTCTTCTTGAGATCCAGTCCAGGATTATACATTGCATTTGTCTGCCATGCCAAATTCTCTTAGTTCTTCAGCCTCTCTTTGTCTTTCATGATCTGCGTCCTTTGAAGAATCCTCACTAGTTATATGTAGGCCATCCTATAGCTTGGGTTTGCCTGGCGTTTTCTCACAGTTGAATACCAGGTATGCATTTTTGGTAAGAGCACCACAGAAGTAACATTGTACCCTTTCAGTGCATCATGTTGGGGGTACATGATGTCTGTACCTCTTATTACCCGTGATGTTAACTTTCTCACTTGGTCAAGATGGTGTCTGCCAGGTTTCTCCACTGCAAAGTGATAATTTTTTTTCCCTTTTGTAATTAATAAGCATCATATTTTGAAGTTTTATAAATATAATTTCTTATCATTCTTTCACATATTAATTTTAGCATTCATTGGTGATTCTTGCCTGAATCAAATATTAATGTGCCATTTGTCAATGGTGATTTTCTTCTAGTTCCATCCTTTCCTCTCTATTTATTAATTGGAATTTTATTGTAAGGAAGAGCTTTCTTTTTCTTCCTCATTTGTTGATTAAATTACTTCTTATATCAGTATGGACTCATGGGTATTTATTTTGTTCTGTGAATTACAATACATGTGTTAATTTGCTAGAGCTGCCATGAGAAAAAGTGTCAGGGACTAAATGGTTTAAACAGCATAAATTTATCTTCTTACAATTCTGGAGGCTTGCAATCTGAGATCAAGGTATCAGAAGGGTTGGTTCTTTCTGAGCCTGTCTCCTTGGCTTGCAGATGGTTGTCATCTCCGTGTGTCTTCATCTGTCTCCGTATAACTATATCCTAATGCCCTCTTATAAGGACATAGTCCTTATAAGTCATATTGGATTAGTGCCCACCCTAATGAGTTTATTTTTTCTGAACTTTTTGCAAGGGGAGAAAAATATTTATTTTTTTAATTGGAGGATAATTGCTTTACAGTGTTGTGTTGGCTTCTACCATACAGCAGTGTGAATCAGTCATAAGTATACATGTGTCCCCTCACTCTTGAACCTCCTCCCCACCCTCCTATCCCACCTACCCCTCTAGGTTGCTAATGACTTTAACTTAATTACCTCTTAAAGACACTATCTTTAAATATAGTCATAGTTTAAAGTACTAGGGTTAGGACTTCTGTGTATGAATTTTGGGCAGCTCATAACATAAATAAATAATTCAGCTCATAACAACCTATGACTGTCATTATATTTTGTTGCTCAAATCATCCCCAATTTGGCCATTGGAAACCCCTCATGGTGGCTCCTGCATCCTTTCTTCCTTCCCCTAATAATTTTTGTATGCTTTCTTGCTTTTCAATACCACAAGATGTTCTAGGTACACCTTTTACTTTTTCTTCCCCAGCCCCGGAATTATGCATTTCCCTAAGAAGCCCTTATTCTTTCTGTTGGAGGATGGTAGTGGTCATCTCCTGATGCTTCTGTGTCAGGCTGAAGTTTGAGAATCTCTGATAAACTGGTTCCGAGCCCAGGCTTGAATCCAGGTGTATCCCTTCTTAGATGAGTGACATTCAATTAGTCACTTGATCTCTATATGTCTTTTTACTCTCCTGAGGAAAGGGTGTGATGCTACCCATCTCCCAGGGTGGGTATAAGGATTGGGTGATGTGTTACATAAAGCATTTTGCACACCCCCATCTCATAATCAATGCCCAATAATGATTGGCTTTCATTATTAGGTGGTCATTTCTAAAGGCTGAAGACTTGATAACACATTTTCATCTGGGAAATAGATTCTAGAGGGATTCCCAAGCATGTCTCAATGGCCTACTAGAATAAACTTAACTGGGGAATTGTGATCTTGAGATCATAGCTGGCATTTCCCAGGAAGATCACAGAAGCCCATCCTGCAGCATTTCTTCTGGGCTCTAATGTTCCACCAGCATCCCCAACACACTGCATACCTGAGGGAAGGCTGTGGGTGCAATGGGGAGTCTAGATTTAATTCTTCATCTCATGGTTTGGTTTCTAGTCTCCAGGTGGGCCAGGCCACCTCCCTTGAAACCCAGGAGTTTTAGCTCTTATTCCTTTATTTAGAAGACCACCTTCTAAAGAGTAAAAGGGTGTGGGGGAGGGTTGACATGCCAAGGGTTTTAGCTTTCAGTTGCCAGGGCAACAGGGGATCATGGTGAGTGGGAGAGGTCATAGCTATGAAGAAGGTAGAGCGAGGCTGTTCCGATTTTTATTACGTTTGTTAATTATCTCTGTTTTTTTTTTTTTTTGCAGAGAGCACGGATAACTTTGTCTCTTGTAAGTCTCTTTTACCTTTTGCTTTGAAAGTGATTTATTCTGATACTTTGGTGACTACTGAGTCCAGATAGCCCTCTTTCCTGTTCTATCACCATCCCCAGACCCACGGCCACTGACAGGATCTGAGTGAACCATGAAAGGAGAGTAGAAACTCTTCTTGGGCAGTTCCAAGCCCACGCCTCTTAGACGGTCACTTGCTGCCTCAGTTTTCTTGGGTCTGACCATGTTGCAGGTCTTCCTACCCAGACAGAGAGAGGTGGTGTTAGGAAGAATGTGGGGTTCATGTGCCCCGGTGGACCCATGTTGAGCATCTCAGTTGTTCTTGCAGAGAGAATGTGGAACCTGTGATGTTAGTGTTTGTCACCTGCTTCAAGAGCCAGGGAATTTGGCCAGAACCCACCCAGGTGGTGCTAGTGGTAAAGAATCTGCCCGCCAATGCAAGAGACCTAAGAGACATGAGTTCAATCCCTAGATCAGGAAGATCCCCTGGAGGAGGGCATGGCAACCTGCTCCAGTATTCTTGCCTGGGAAATCCCATGGACCGAGGAGCTTGGCAGGCTACAGTCCATGGGGTCACAACTGAAGCGACTGAGCACGCAAGGCGAGTGGAGCTGTGACTGGCAAGGTCTCCCACAGGCTCATCTGTCTTTGAATGAAATTATTGAGGCTCAGTCTATAAGCGATTTGGGGCCAGGACTAGACAACTCCCAAAGGATTTGGGGGTTTGCTCATGGACTGTAGGGAAACCCATATTTATTCCTTTTCCTTTTGTCCCCCATGGGAGAGGAATAGTGACAGCTGGGGTCATTTCAGCTTCCTGTGTGGCCTGAGACAGCAGACAGTCCTTTTTTAGGACATGCATTGCTGTTCGGCTCAGATGTAAATATCACCTGTAATTCCTTTATTTGTCCTTGGCCTTAGTGGACTTGTCATCTCACAGAACACCCCTCTGGAGAAATTTGAACCGGGGATGTCTTTGGACAAGTTGGTGATTCCAGATGGATGTCTGAGGGAGGCTTGGCTGCCCCTCCAGGCCTTGCTGGGAAGACCTGGTGTTTCCCAGTCAGATAAACTTGCTGCTTAACTGAAGCTGCCACTGTGCTCTGAAATCTGCCTCAGGGCAATGGATAGTGGGTAGTTTGTGGGGCCACAGGCCTCCTGGATCTTACTGAGGAGATCCAGGAAGGGCATAGAAAGAAGGGACAGGATAAGGGATGCAGAGAGGAGCTGTGTGTAGCCAGAGCTGCCTTCACTGACACAATGGGCTGAATCCAGACCCTGGCTGTGATCGCAAACCATCTCCCTTCCTCTTATCTATCCAATAGCTCATGGCCCGTGTTGCCCAGGTTAGGGTTAGGCTATTTATTCTGGGATGTGAATCGGGGGATGAGAGTGAAGGCTCTTTATGCCTATGCAGTCTGTCCTTGAGCTGTTAACACCTGCCAGGGAGCCTTTGGGGGTCTGGTCTCTGGGGACCCCTGCAAAGCCTGGAGAGATCAGAGGCTGACTTTCAAGGGATATTCTCTAGGAAGAACTTTTGAGAAGGTTTGGGAGTTGGGTAAGAACTGTGGGGGAGGCTCTCGTGGCCAGCAAACTAACTACTTTTCTGTTTTTCTGGTTGGTTTTCAGTCTACGAAGTGAGCCCTACCCCTCCTATCACTGTGACCCACAAACCAGAGGAAGACACTTTTGGGGTGAGTCACTTCTTGGTCAAGAGAAAGGTGTTTACTGATGCAGTGGTTTTCCGCCTTCTGTTTTAAGTCGTCAACTTTTCCAAACACTCCCCTGTTTGGAACTGTGGCATAAAGAAGCTGTGATGAATTAACTCCTCTCAGGTGGTTGAAACCTGATGAGAATAATAATTCATTGTTTGAGGAAGTCTTTGAGGATCTGCTTTAAGCCCCGGGGCTTGGAAAAGAAGAGTTTGAGAATTCCCACTCCATTAGCAGCCAGCTGGGCCTGATTTGAAGGGGCTGCTAATTGTACAACCTTGTACAAAAGTCAGAGTCGCCCGGGGTATCTTCTTGGGTGGGAGGTGCCCCTACCCCACTCTCAGAGCCTGAGATTTCTCTGGGGAGGAAAGGAAAGAGGTCTTTTTAGAATCTCAGGGATAAGAATATTACCCCAAGCAGGTCAATGTGAAGATGCAGGATTTACTTGCTAATTAAAAGCACAATGAAACAATAGACAGAAGCCTCTCTGGGCTTCCTCCTGCGTCTGTTGGGATGGCCCCAGCTGAGAGGGCTCAGAACACTGAATCATGGAAGTTTTCTCTAATCGATTTGGGTAATTTATTTTTTGATGTTAGTAGAACCTCATAAATTATGTCTTCTCAAGACTTTCCTCAGTCTGAGAAGTTCTGGGAGGGCTCCGGTTGCTACTATAATAGGGCTGTTCTCCTCTGAGCCTGCGTGTTACTCACATAACCCTCGGGTTTTCAGTAACAGTGCTTGCCTGTCTCTGTTTGGCTCCTAACAGGTGTCCATAGCAGTTGGACTTGCTGCTTTTGCCTGTGTCCTGTTGGTGGTTCTCTTTATCATGATCAACAAGTATGGGCGACGGTCCAAATTTGGAATGAAAGGTAAGGTGGGCTGTTCATTTGCGAGGGTCGCATTGGGGAACCATGGCTCCTTTTGATCAAAAGATGCTGTTTTAATCTCTCTCTGCTCTCTGAGAGGATCTCTCATGGTGGGCTTAAGTGGCCCTGGCTGGTGTCTCCTGTCTACACCTTTATTATTGGTAGTGATGGATTGAAGGCAGTGTTGGTGTCTGTGAGGACCAGACTGTGGACCACTTGGTTTTTCTGTGATGACCGAAAACATGGCTTCAGTGGGCTGGTGCCAAGATGATGCAGAGAAGTTAAGAAAGTAAAGTGAAAGTTTATTTAAACAAGGATACACTCTCAGAGGGAGAGCGGGCAGACAGATGAGGGACTGTTTGGCAAGCCAGTTATGAGGAGCGTATAAATGAATAAGCAGAATATTCACTGGGGAAGGAGGGGTTTGGGGGTGGACTTCCCTGATTTTTCATCCCAGGTCCATTTTCCCGAGGGGAGGAGGAACTTCTGTCCCTGTTTAGCTTAGATCAAAAGTGTCATGGCATCTGTGCATGATGAGTACTTCTTATCTGTAAGGCTAATCTTGTTATAATGAGAGGGTGTGTGCATGCTAAGTCTCTTCAGTTGTGTCCGACTCTGTGGACTGTAGCCCGCCAGGCTCCTCTGTCCATGGGATTCTGGAGTGGGTTACCATGCCCTCCTCCAGGGGATCTTCCCTACCTAGGGATCAAGCATGCATCTCTTATGTCTCCTGCTTTGGCACGTGGGTTCTTTACCAATAGTGCCACCTGGGAAACCCAGTCCCATAATGAGAGTACAGTGAGTAAAAGATGACACTTAGGCTCAGGAGATTCCTGCCTTTCCCCACCTTTCTTTGTCTGCTGCTTGAGCCCTTATCAGCCAAAATGTGTGGTTTCCTGTCAGTCTGAATGTCCCTGCTTCCCTTTGTCTGCCTACGGACCCCTGTTTTTTATAGGATACGTGGTTTCTGGCCACCTGGCTCCTACCCCCATTTCTCTGCTCATACCTAGCTACCTGTCTCTTGAAACAAAGTGACTTTCTGAGTAACTGGGTTTTGCCCTTGTCTACACCTATTCGTGGAGTTGTGATGAGAAGGCATTCAGAGAGCTAGATGTTGGTGGTAGCCTCTGGCATTGAAAGGGACCCAGGCAGGGTATTTCAGCCCCTAGCTCTACACAGAGTTCCAGAAATGATGCCAACAGCATCATGATTGCTAAATCTGCTGACCGGTTTCCACGACACAGAGCACTCAATCCCATGACCGCTGGGATCAGGCTTGAGACATGGCTCTCCACCAAGACTTGGGTTAAGGGCATTCGCACAAAAGGGGTTAATATGGTAAATTAGCATCCATCTGCCTGGTCCTAGGATGGATCTGACCAAATGGCTCAAGGGAGGCTGGGTACCAGTGCTTAAACAGAAACTTGAATATCAAGATATATTCCCAGCTGGGGGTTCCATTTATGGCTGATGTTAACAGGAGATGGGTGGGGAGGGCTGATGAAGGGTTTGACAGGCCATCAGGTTCCTGAGCTAGGATTCAGGGTGGAGTCTTCTGATGAGATTATGGGGTCCAGAAAGATGATTTCTATGACTTCTACACCAGAGCTGGTATCGGTGGTGGGGGTCTTGACCTGGGGACTCAGGAACTGAAGGGGAAATCATAAATGAGATTCACAGGGATAGTGGTCCCTTGAATTAAATGTGGGCTTCTCAGGTGGCTCAGTGGTAAAGAACCCACCTGCCAATGCAAGAAACATAAGAGACGAGGGTTTGATACCTGGGCCAGGAAGATCCCCTGGAGAAGGAAATGGAAGCTCACTCCAGTATTCTTGCCTGAAGAATCCCTTGGACAGAGAAGCCTGGCGGGCTACAGTCCATGGTGTCTCAGAGAGTCAGATACTGAGCGACTCACCAACAACAACGAATTTATATGCAAATGTTTGAGTGTTTGTTCGCAGCATGTGGGTGTGGGGTTGGAAAGGAACTAATCCTCAGCTCCTATTATATTCTCAAGAGTCCATGACTGTCCTATAAATCTAGAACACTGATATATAACAAGAGATATAGCATATTGAACCAGAAAGGCAGGAAACGGGGCAGACTGCCTGGCTTCCTAGAAGCCTCCTGCCTCTTCTGCTCTTGGTTAAGCTGAACAAGTCCAAACAAGGCAAATCGGTGTTTCTTGAAGTATATGAAATACTTCGTCCAAGAGAAATATGCGCACAGGCAAATTATAAAGCTTTCTATGTATAAGCTTGGCCCAAAGCCAGATGATTTATTAAACAAGAGGAGCCCATGATCAGGTATCTTGGCTGGAGACATTTTATCTGCCAGTACCCCACGTGCCAAATAGGGTTTCATAGGTTTGGAAGATAAGCCATCATCCTGTAAGGTTGGAGCCTGCAATCTTCTTTTAAAAAAGATAATTAATTAATCTTTGGCTGTGCTGGGTCCCCTTGTTGCTGCACGGGGCTTTCTCTAGTTGTAGTGAGCAGGAGCTTCTCTCTCATTGTGGTGCACGGGCTTCTCATTGCACCTGGCTTCTCTTTTTGCAGAGCAGAGGTTGTAGGATGCTTGGGTTTCAGAAGTTGTGGCATGCAGGCTTAGTTGATCTACAGCACGTGGGATCTTCCCGGAGCAGAGATCGAACCCATGTCCCCTGCACTGGCAGACAGATTTTCTGCCACTAGACTACCGGGGAGGTCCCTGAGCCTTCAATCTTAGCATCATGCTTGCAGTCCTGGCTTTGGGGACCCGGCGCTGTTTCTTGTGCAGACTTTTCCTGCCGTGGGAGGAACTTCCCTTTCTTTTCCTCCCGTCACCTGAGAAAACAGCAGAGCCTTGAGCCAACGGACGAGTGGGGCATTCCTGCTCTCCCCACCGAGAGGCGCGCCGCCAGCTGAGACCCCGCGACAAGCTTGGCAGCGCCGTGGGAGCAGATTTTTCCCATTAATTGTCATCCGGTTTCTGGAACAGCGTGTCCCCATGTCGGATGGATTAGGCAGCATCCAGGGCGGCGCCTTCCTCTCAGCTGTCCTTGGAGCCTCTCCCAGCGCCCACTCCCCTCTCTCAGCCTGAACTGCCCTCGTCGATCCCTGCTGAGCCATAGGAACATGTCCATGAGGTTGGCAGTGAAATATTCCTTAAAGTCAGGTGACCTGAAGAAGTTCTGCTAAAATGAGAGGCAAGATGAGATGGTGTATTGAAGGCTGACCCTGTTTAGAATTAAGCCTGCATCTTTCTGGTCTTTATTATACCTGATTGTATTTAGTTCTTATCTTAGGATGACTAGCAAATGCCCCAGGCTGCATCCACCCTTGATCTTTTATTGCCAGCGGGCATCCCAGTCCAGAAAAAAAAAAAAAGAGCAAAGGTGTGGGTGCCAGAAACCTCCCAACTCTGAAGCAGGCAAACCTCCATCTCTTCTGAGCCACTCCATCCTCAGCTTTGAATTTTCAACTCTGGGTTAGAATCTGTGATGCCACTTCATTGCTCTTTGTTTCTAGCAAAGTTACTTAACTTCTCACAGCCTCTGGTCCCCCAACTTCAAAATGATGCAATGATTCTACCTCCCTCTTCGAATTGCCCTGAGTGTTAAGATCTGTGTGTGACTGATGTTTGCAAGGATGCCTGTGTTTGTCATTTTCTTTTCTTTGTGTATAAGCCTTTCCACGCTCTTTTTATTCTCCTTCCAGGAAGGGCTGCCCTCTCAAGACTTAATCATGCCCTACTGTGTCCTGCACAGTATTTAGTAAAAATAGTTTTCTTCTGCACTAATCCTAGGGCACTGTCATTATTTCTCTCAGACATCATCTGTCCTGTTAGACCAGGAGTGACTTGTCATAGAAACCTGTGATCACTCAGCCTGTATGCCTGAAACTTTGCAGTCTGTGACAAATGGTTATTGAACTTAGAAATGAATGACTTTATTTTTACTCATTAAAAAAAAAAGGCACAGCTTGTTAATCAGTAATGGGCTAGTTAGGGCTCATTTGTAAATTCGAGCTGTCTGGGCAGTGGGAGGGAGAGTGGGGATGATCTGGGAAACTCATAAATAATTCCTACCGTCCACATCTGAGGGCTTGGAACACAGTGTGTGTATGGGGAGGACTTATTCAAATGAATTCCTTCCGAGAAATTAAAAAATATTTAAAAAATATGAAGATTAGTTAAACAAATACTCATATTCCATTCCTGCCACTCAGAATGAGCAATTCACTGTTTTGTTTTATATTGCATCTAATTTTTTTTCTTATATATATATATATATATATATATATATAAAAAACTAAAATGGCTTTGTCAGCCCTGGTCCCATGTCCCCTCCCATTTCCCTGGGCAGTCATTAGCCTGAGTTCACTGTGCATCCATCAGTCCTCTTGGTTTTGTCTCTCCCCCTGTGTCTCTGTCTCTCTTTCCCTGCTGTCTCTGCACATCCACACTTACCCTCATGGCTGTCTCCCAACCAACCTCATACTCTGTCAAATTAGCAACTACCTCCACCCTATGACAATCTTAGTGCCCAAGTGTGATAACCAGTTCAATTTTATAATTCTACTTATATGTATATGTGTGTATATATATGTGTGTATGTGTTTATGTATATGTGTGTGTATATATATATATATACACACACATATATATATTTTTTATATTACAGTTGCCTTTGTTAAAGTATTGGGTTGGCCAGAAAGCTCATTCAGATTTTTTCCATCACCTCTTATGGAAAAAACCACCTTTCTGGCCTATGCAATATGTATATTTCTGTCTCTTATAGACCTTTTTAATAAATTTTATTTGAATAAGAGAATGTGTATGCCAGCAGTTTTAAACAGCATAATTAAAGACTGCAGAACTCCCAAGAATTGTCACAGATATGTACAGGATGTGAAGATATGCATATTACATATGTATATATGTGTATACATATGTGAGTATATTTATAAGATGCATCATTTGTGTATGCTTTAATGTATGCAATTGTTTATACTGCAAGCACC